GGAAACAAGAACCCGACATCACCAATTTGCATTAATCTTCCTCTATGAAGAATATATCTGGATCTGTTTCTTGCTTCTATATTGTAAATCTTAACAAGAGAGACAACGCTGAGAATGTCCCACGGCAGTTGTTCCTGCAACACCCTCCTGCTATAGTGTCAACCTGTCTTAGGTGTTGCGAAACTGTCTTAAATCAACATTTTCCTCTTCGTTCAAAACTTGCGTGAGTTTAAGCGTGTGTGTTGCTCAGGTTGTTGTTAAACTGGTGGACGTGGTGTTGTGAAATGTTGTGCAAATGTATTTGCTGCTGTGATCGGTGACAAGTAACCCCCTCCCCGATGCTTAGTGACCGGGTTGATGCTATTTAGAGTCCTAGCAGTCCATTTTTTAGCCCAAATAAATGTGGAGATTTCTTGTTTTCGTAGCATGTTTGCTGTAACTCACAGCGCTTTGATTTGGAACAAACTATGGAGGAATGATGAGCTTACCGTTGTATTAATTACATTGTGGTTAAAATGGGTCTCTGCGAGACTGCTGTCCCCCTTTTCAGACCCTCTATATATATATAATATATATATATATATATATATATATATATATATATATATATATATATATATATATATATATATATATATATATATATATATATATATATATATATATATATATAAATATATATATATATATATATATTATATATATATATATATATATATATATATATATATATATATATATATATATATATATATATATATATATATATATATATATATATATATATATATAAACAAAATAAGGAAGCAAATGAAAATAAAGCAAAATTTCATTTTCTTCATTAATTAAAGTTTCGCTTGTCTTAAAGCGGACCTGTGATCGTTCTTCGCCTGCTTCAACACATTGACGGAACAGACGAACAAGACAGATGTGCAACACTTGGCTATCTTTACTGTGGAAACGTTTCGCCAACTAGTAGCTTTATCAGTTCAATACAGATAAAGAAAAACAGTGGTAGATGCGAACAGGGAGTTTTACCAAATCAATCCCTTAACCTAGAGACGAGGTTTTCACTCCACCAGTTATGATAAAAAGTGTTGCACCTGTCTTATTCGCCTACTTGTCGGCTTTATTCCATCATTACATCAATGGTTTACAATACAGACAAGTTTATGAATTAAACACGTGTGCAACACCTGAGTATATTTTGTAGACGCTTCACCAACTAGTGGCTTTATCAACGTAATACAAGGACATGAACGAAAGTCTGGAAGAGAATGTAATCAGTCCCTCAGCCTTCACGAATTATGTACAGAAGACAGTAAAGAATGAGGCTTAGAGTCCCTCAGCTTAGGAGCACGTGTTCAGTACAGCAGTCTAGATGAATGAACCATAGGCAGGATGACGGATGATATGCTGGAGTCAGATGAGGTGCATCAGATGAAGGAACTGTCACAGGCAGGTGGGACCCACCAGTGGAAGTAGGTCATGCATGGCCAAGAGTTGGACCAGAGGTTAGCAAATAAGGGTATACCTGGGGAAGGTTTCGGAGGTCAACGCCCCCGCGGCCCGGTCTATGACCAGGCCCCAAGGTGGGTCAGGGCCTAATCAACCAGGCTGTTACTGCTGGCCACACACAAACTGACGTACGAACTACAGCCAGACTGGTCAGGTACTGATTTTAGGTGCCTGTCCAGAGCCTTGTAAACAGCCAGGGAGCTTTTGGTAATCCCCCCGGTGACAGCCTGGTTGATTAGGCCCTGATCCACCATGAGGCCTGGTCACAGACCGCGTAGCGGGGGTATTGACCCCCGAAACCCTCTCCAGGTATACCCCAGGTATGTACGCTGGTCGTGGAGATATCCTCTGTAGCAAAATTCCATTGTGGTGGTGTTGTGTTTGACAAGCATCGTCACATCACTTGGTATAATACCGACATGTTGATTAATTACTATAATCGTATACTGAAGGAGCGCTTATCTGAATTCACAGATAATTAAGTTTATTTAGGCACAGGTACACATAATTACAATTATAATACATAGTGTAATTACAATTATAATACATAGTGTAATTACAATTATAATACATAGTGTAATTACAATTATAATACATAGTGTAATTACAATTATAATACATAGTGTAAATTACCCAGGAAGCTGGTTAGGTTAGGTAAGGTTAGGTTAGGTTAGGTTAGGTTAGGTTAGGTTAGGTTAGGTTAGGTTAGGTTAGGTTAGGTTAGGTAAGGTTAGGTTAGGTTAGGTTAGGTTAGGTTAGGTTAGGTTAGGTTAGGTTAGGTTAGGTTAGGTTAGGTAAGGTTCGTCAGGAAACAGGACAAATGTTTCCTGACGCGGGTCTTAGTCAGATGATGACCCGCCTTTGGAGCTTTTGGTCATCTGGCCGAGGCCTTCCGCTGGCTTACCGGTCCACCCCTTTAAAAATTATAGTCATGTATAACCATTTTGTACTAACCAGGAAGCTGGCAAATTGGAAAAATGATTACTCAGTGCAATTGTCATAACAAGAAAAACTATTGAAAGTTGAAGAACAAGAACAAATATCTCTTGAGGCAATTCCATTGATCTGAGGCCAATTTAAAGTTTGTCGAATAAATTCGCTTGAAGAAGATGACGACCTCTTATTGAGATCTCTCGAGATTTCACTGCTGCACTGCCAGTAACATTATTCACTGATGTACTGTCACTGACATTGTTCAATGCTGTACCGTCACTGACATTGTTCACTGCTGTAACGTCACTGACATTGTTCACTGCTGCAATTAATCTTCCTTACTCAGACTGAAAAAAGAACCACCAATGGGACAGTGTTTATCATGGACCGGGCCGCTGGGCCGTTGACCCCAGACACATCCTCCAGGTATACTCCAGGTGATGGTATATAATACCTACAAGTTAATGAATAAAGCATCGTATACCTGGAGTTTACCTGGAGAGAGTTCCGGGGGTCAACGCCCCCGCGGCCCGGTCTGTGACCAGGCCTCCTGGTGGATCAGAGCCTGATCAACCAGGCTGTTACTGCTGGCTGCACGCAAACCAACGTACGAGCCACAGCCCGGCTGATCAGGAACCGTGCTTGTCCAGTGTCAGCTTGAAGACTGCCAGGGGTCTGTTGGTAATCCCCCTTATGTATGCTGGGAGGCAGTCGAACAGTCTCGGGCCCCTGACACTTATTGTATGGTCTCTTAACGTGCTAGTGACACCCCTGCTTTTCATTGGGGGGATGTTGCATCGTCTGCCAAGTCTTTTGCTTTCGTAGTGAGTGATTTTCGTGTGCAAGTTCGGTACTAGTCCCTCTAGGATTTTCCAGGTGTATATAATCATGTATCTCTCCCGCCTGCGTTCCAGGGAATACAGGTTCAGGAACCTCAAGCTCTCCCAGTAATTGAGGTGTTTTATCTCCGTTATGCGCGCCGTGAAGGTTCTCTGTACATTTTCTAGGTCAGCAATTTCACCTGCCTTGAAAGGTGCTGTTAGTGTGCAGCAATATTCCAGCCTAGATAGAACAAGTGACCTGAAGAGTGTCATCATGGGCTTGGCCTCCCTAGTTTTGAAGGTTCTCATTATCCATCCTGTCATTTTTCTAGCAGATGCGATTGATACAATGTTATGGTCCTTGAAGGTGAGATCCTCCGACATGATCAATCCCAGGTCTTTGACGTTGGTGTTTCGCTCTATTTTGTGGCCAGAATTTGTTTTGTACTCTGATGAAGATTTAATTTCCTCGTGTTTACCATATCTGAGTAATTGAAATTTCTCATCATTGAACTTCATATTGTTTTCTGCAGCCCACTGAAAGATTCGGTTGATGTCCGCCTGGAGCCTTGCAGTGTCTGCAATGGAAGACACTGTCATGCAGATTCGGGTGTCATCTGCAAAGGAAGACACGGTGCTGTGGCTGACATCCTTGTCTATGTCGGATATGAGGATGAGGAACAAGATGGGAGCGAGTACTGTGCCTTGTGGAACAGACCTTTTCACCGTAGCTGCCTCGGACTTTACTCTGTTGACGACTACTCTCTGTGTTCTGTTAGTGAGGAAATTATAGATCCATCGACCGACTTTTCCTGTTATTCCTTTAGCACGCATTTTGTGCGCTATTACGCCATGGTCACACTTGTCGAAGGCTTTTGCAAAGTCTGTACATATTACATCTGCATTCTTTTTATCTTCTAGTGCATTTAGGACCTTGTCGTAGTGATCCAATAGTTGAGACAGACAGGAGCGACCTGTTCTAAACCCATGTTGCCCTGGGTTGTGTAACTGATGGGTTTCTAGATGGGTGGTGATCTTGCTTCTTAGGACCCTTTCAAAGATTTTTATGATATGGGATGTTAGTGATATCGGTCTGTAGTTCTTTGCTGTTGCTTTACTGCCCCCTTTGTGGAGTGGAGCTATGTCTGTTGTTTTTAGTAACTGTGGGA